AATGATGAGTACACACAGACACATGGGGCAGAACAGCTCACACCTGGTGCCTGTCAGAGGGTGGAGGGTGGGAGGAGTGAGAACATCAGGAAGAATAGCTAATGGATGCCAGGCTTAATACCTGGGTGATGGGATGATCTGTGCAGCAAACCACATTGGCAATTGTTTACCTATGTAACAAACCTGCATATCCTGCACATGTACCCCTGACCTTAAAAAGTTATACATAAAAAGATCTTTGCAAATAATAATTTAGGGGGGAAAAAATAGGAAAGACAACACAGACACGGCACCAAGGAGGTAGGAGAGAGCACTCCAAAGGAGAAGGCAGTGCTGGCACAATAAAATTATGACCATGGCTGGAATCTAAGCAGGGGAAAGCTCAGAGAGAAAATAGAATGCCAATGATAGCTTTCATGGCAGAGGGCGTCACAGATAGAGAAGCACAGACAGAAGAGGTATCCACAGGGAAGATATTATCCTGCACGAAGATGAGAGGACAGCACGCAAATGTATTTAAGGCAGCTGCCAGTTACAACAGTAATCATTACAGATGCAGAGTTCTTGAGGATATTAACTCTATAAGGTTCATCAGCTTCATGGAAGTCTGTGATGCTTTTGACAATGAAAATATAAAATAGCACAATGTGAACTTTAAATTTTTAAAATAATTTTTATAATAGTCATTTTCCACTACTGACAATAAACCAAATATTTATCCAGTATTTAAGATTCTAGGCTCCTAGAAAGCCAATGCAATAATTAATTTTATAGACTGGAAAAGAAATAATGAAATCCTACAATCTAACTCACACTGAACTCCACATATTTTTTTTAAACACTGTTCTGTTACAAAACCTAAACATACTTTCTTCCTTGACTATATTCTTCTCCCTACCAGTAAGTTGTACTAGCTATGGTTTTAGCCCTTATCAAACTTATAATCCAATACTAAAAACATTAGTAAGGTCCTGCCTCATACATTAAACTCAGACCACAGGGGGCATGATACTCAACATGCTCTGAGTATGTCAGGGGCAAAGTATACGTAGGAGGCCTAGCCCAATAAAGAGAGCCACCTTTAAGAACCACAACCAGGCTCTTACACCAATTGTACATGCTGGGCTGGCTCCTGCCAATACTGGAGAACAGAGGGACGCTGGATAAAACTGCTACTGAAAATCTCGAGCCTTGATATTAAAAGGTACATTTTGTCAAAAAATCTTGATTAAAATAATGCCCTGGCTACTGCCTCTTACGATGGCCTGACCTTGGCCAGCCACTGACTTGTGTATCTCTTCTGACTTTCCAGTTGTGAAACTGGCCAAATGACTATGCTCCGATCTATCTCACTCCTCAGTGCTATGCAATTCTATATTTAACCCTCCTACTACCTTAGAACACCAGCCCTGGGAGATAATCCTGCCAGCATGGTAGGAACCTGACTAAAACTATGACTGAAGTACAAGCAAGCTAGTTAGTGGTAACAAATAAAACACATTCGAAGATCTGTCCAGACAAGCAGTAAGTATAAACTTATTCTAACACATCAAATCTTATTCATACCATTTCAAACAAGGTTTAAGAAAAAGACTTTCAACTCTTTCCTTGTTGATAATTCAAGCAATATTCAATAAAACTTACTTCCAAATATAGCAAAGAAAGAAACCCTAGAGTTTAAGAGAAATGTATCTGTATGTACAGAAGTTTAATTTACATATGTATTTTGTAGATAAAGAGGCATTTTGAAAATAAAACAAATTATATGGCAAATTCGCCACATCACTACAATTATAAGGGAATAAACTACTTGCAGACAAGTCAAAGCAAGTAGATACTATTGCTAGGAAAATGATCAATCAGTCACACATGTTTTTTAAAAGCAGGTACTGAATTTCTCCCCCCAAGTATTATATATACAGATTGTTTTTTACCGAGCCTAATTAGACAGGTTTAATATAATCCAACATGAAATTAAAACACCTCCCCAGTGTTTTCCCATCATAGCACCTCAGCAACCTGCTACCATGTCTTCAGTGAAACCTAATGAGGTCAGCCTAGCCAACTCCATTAGAGAGGACATGTGGCTTCCACGAACATTGCCTTACTCACTTCTAATCCTTACCCAAATAGCGAAGAGTATGGAAAGGAGGAGGCGCGCACACACACACACTATATATATATATGTTTGTTGAAGGGGAAAATTAGAGAAAGAGAGGCATTTCAACATGCCACATTAGCTAAGTGTAAGTATAATGTTAGTACACATTCCATTATTTTATTAGTAAGGAAATTAGCAGGCCAAACCAAGGCCCATAGCAATGCATTTTCAGTACATCATTCCTTAGAGTGAAGGAAAAAGGTTCACCAAGAGCAGCCAAAACAAGTTAATCTCCCAATAGGGGAGTCAGCCCTCCCCTATTCAAAGCATATGAGGACAGGCTGGTCTTGGCACTTCTTAGACAGATCATGCTGCAGTATTGCTATCACAACACAATGGTAAGGAAAAAAAGAAAAATGGTTTATTAGTGTACTCCCCATGAAGATTATTCTGGCACTGGATCAAGTAATGGGTGGTCATACTCTAGGTAGCATAGCATTAAGGAGAAGGTGAAAAGGAGCAGAGCAGTAGAAATAATTCATTTTATCTCCTGTATGATTCGATTTCATAGGGGTCATGCTAATAAGTCAAACAGACACTAAAACAACAACAAAAAAATCAGGCAATCATGATGCAAGAGAAGCTACATCCAGAATTATGGATTAAAAACTTACCACCTAGAAGAATAATTTATTTTTAAAATGAATCCAGAGGAGAAAGATAGAAGAAACACATTTACATGGTTAGTTCTTATGATAGCTACTTTATATTCGACAGACTTGTAACAGCATGCATTATAGAAAACTAATACAGAAAACGTAAACAGACAATCCCAAGTATATCGCACACATTTTTACAACAGAGAACTACTCATCACCAAACACATGATCCTGAATATGACAGAGATTCACTGTTATTGATAATTTTTCTCCCTCTTCTGTCAGTAATTTTGCTACTATTGCCAATTAATCATCTGTGATTGGCCTAATTCAAGATAATATTAAAATGATAATTTCTATAAACTCTCTTCCATCCCAGTTGCCAAGAAGAAGCAGGATGCTTCATCTAATCTCCTTTGAATTCCTTGTAAGTGTAAAGAAGGGCAAATGTCCTAGATTTGCAGCAATAAACCTGTAGCTACTGACACTAGGGTGTTCACAGCTTATCTAGCCATCAAGCATGCTGAGATATCTAATAAAAAAATAACATCTTTATTAGTTGCTACATTTCAAGTTATGAGTAAGATACATACGTATGCAAAAGTATTATTAAAGCTATTAGCTTTTAAAAAACGCAATCAAGGATTTAGTACAAACAAATCATCAAAAATGTGACAAAAGCTCTAAGAGATCTGCAACCTTTAAACAGAAATTGCAATATTACTGAATTTTTTTCCTCCCATCATTAAACATTTTCTCAGTTAACAGATGCTAAACATACAACTCTTATATGTTGATGGAACCTCAAAATATCTAATGTGAAGAGAATTCTTCATGTTGGTGATCACTGATTTGGATCAATGCTATACATGGCCAAACACAGTCAACATTATCTCCTTTGGCCAGAAAGGTTAAGGGAAAGAAGGGTGCAAAGAGCAACTGCTATCGCCAAACAGGCAGACGATACAGTGAAAACTTGCTTGGCCAGTAACAGGCAAAGCGTGGTCAGGACAATCCACTGACTGGCCATCCCCTTAACAAGCTAGATAAATGTTACACTGTGGTACCCACATCAATGTTCACACTGTGAAATGCCTGCATTTCCACATGATATATTAGCAGTGCTATTGCCCAAGAATGCTTCCTGAAAGGATCTATATTCTCTTAATCTGTATTGTCTCTGGACACGTGCTACATATGTTTACAAGTGATTCTAAATTCACCTCTTATAAATGGCAAAAGGAACTTTCTAGTTGAGTATTTTGAGATATGTTAAAATGATGTTGAAACTGGGATTCTATCACTCTGTCTCCTCTTTGCTTTCTGGTGGTGGAACCCTTTCTCCCCTGAATCCCTTCCTCTTTTAACAGCTCGTCCAACTTAATGGTCCCATAGAGCTCCATGGTGCCTTTCTTAAAAAGGGAACACTGTATTTTTGGAAAAAGGAAATTATGTGACTAGCAGAATATCTAAATGTCAATTCTTTATATGTAATTTTTAAATTTTAAGATATATTACAGCAAATCAAGGGATCATATACTCTATGTGGACATCTGACTTTTTCTTAAAAATAAAATTAGAATTTGTTAAATATGGATTAGTCTATATTTACTTAGAGCAAAAATTACTTCATAGTCCCAGGTTCATTTATTCTGAAGAGTATTAGGAAGAGTTAGAGTAAATGCTAAAATTCTACTTCTACAAAACTTGCAAGTGTATGTACAATTATACATTGTAAAACTTTATCCTCTACCTTAAGTAGATGATGAGAGGATGATTAGATTATTTTATTATTTCAACTAGTAAAAGACTAGGTAAACTGAGGACCATAAGAAAGCCTGAGTTATTCGACTCACTATGGTATGTAGTGAAAACACGATTCACGTTTTCAGATCTAACTTATATTCTCTCCATTATTACCTATCAACTGCAATTCTCAACCAAAAAACAAAAACAAATAAAAGCTCTGTCTGCCATCTACTGGACAAAGAAGATACAGAACACACACATTACTACGAAAACAACTCTAGGCACCAAGACCAGGCATTTAAAATGATACTCTGTGCTAGTATGTGAAATAAAAAAATTCTTTCTTTTTTCAAAGGTTTCTTTTTATTCACCTGCCATGGGAACCATGTAGAGAATGAGGAACAGGGAGGCAGAAAATAAATGTGTACAAACATAAAAGTAGAGATAAGCCCGACATGTTTTGGATCTAAGTTTCACAAATCCATACTTACGTGGCCATGTAGATCTGTATTAAGAAGCATTATTGCACAGGTAAGGCAATGGACTCCATCTGAAGAAAGACACAAGAAAAGAAAGCAAGAATTCGCTTTCTACTGTTGGACTCCACCTTGTTATCATTAATAGGATACATTCAGAACCTATAAAAACAGTCCTGTGCTAGGTACAGGCTTATTTGTTTTAAGAAACAAAAAATGGATGAGAATAATTTCCATATAGAAAGAACCTGAATGCACAGAATTGGACTCCACTGTTGATACACTGTTCTTACCTCTCTGGAGGACAATTTGGTAGTACACATGTAAAGCCTTGAAACAGTGTCTTTTGACACAACAAATCGGCTTCTAGGGTTTTGCGCTACAGCAATAATTAAGGATCTATACACAGTACAGGGATATCCAGACAAGCATTGCTTACAATGGAAGACAAGTAAATATGAACGTCTAAAGACACATTTCTGTTAGGTTGAAGTCATAAACATGTTCTCCGAGTAAAGATTCTCATTTCCAAACATTAGAATTAGTTGTTCTCCTTAGTCTCACTCCACTAATTCTCTATACAAGTACAGTAGATAATAGCAGTTTCAGATGCGGTAAAAATCTTACCAATTTACGCTAAATTAGAAAGGTCTAATTACTGCACTCATAAATTAAAGGCAGGGTATTTTTAACAGATAAGTTCTTTAGTATAGTAGGTGATTTCTGTTATCAGTGTCTCTTAGTAGATGCTACCAAATGCCTAAAAGTGTATTTATTCTAGTACCATTTTATTATCACAAGTTCTACATATATTTAAAACAAATTCTCCAAAGTATTTTAAGAACTCAGCAGCCAACTCTCAAATATCCTTATCAACAGCCAATTAAGTACACAAATCCGTATTTCTTTTTTTATCCAAGAATGTAAACATCTTCTTAGATTTGCAGAAAGTTCTTATAAAAACGGTCCGCTTTTATCTCTTTTATTCTCTTGTCAGGGCTAATGGTGACAGAGATAGTGAATAACTGGTCCAAACAGCATCAGTTTACCGATAGAAATGTGGCCTTCATCAGGTGATGAATTAACTTTGACTACAGCCTGGGGGAAGGAGAGAAGGTAGAGGCAAGCACCTTGGCCCATACCAAGCACATTATCGAGATTAATTGGCAATACTGAAGCTAAGAGGTAATTACTATTTCTTGTGAATCTAGTCTCAGTGATTTACTCCATAATCTGTAAGTTTATGAAAGATTTTCCAATTGAAAGTCAAAGTGCTTCACTTCGAACACTGAAAAGTGTGCTTTATTGCAGGAATTGAAATGGAGGAAAGATCTCTCCTTCAACAAGGTAGGATCCACAAATAAACAGTTTACAATTAAGTCGTTTACTTTGTAAAACTAATATAATAAGCATAAATTCATAGTTTATTAAAATCATCAACAGAAGTTTGTGGTATCATTATAATTAATATCAAGCAAAAAAACTAGAGGCACAGTGCAACCACCAGTGAGATTTGTTCATATTTCCAAAACTAACCCCAAAACTCTAGATACATGAGCTTTCAACAAGAAACGTAGAGGCCAAATGTATAAGAAATAAGAAAACTGAAATTTTATTACATAAAATCGTAGAGTGACAAATCACGAACATTTCAAGTATGCTGTCATACTAGAGAAGTGGAAAACAAAATAATTTAAATAAGAGTAAAGGATAACATGCTGTCCTTAAATATTATCCTTTTACAGAATATTTAATGACATGAGAAAATGCTCACAATGAAAGAAAATGCAGATAAAAACAAAACTCTAATTCCAATTTGACATTAAGTATTAAATAGACTAGAATGAAGTAAATAGAAGTGTTAGTAGTTATCACTAGCTAATTGAAGTTACATAATTTCTCATAGTAAAATTTAACTTTCATAATAAGGAAAATAACCATTGATATAAAAAAGAAATTCAAGTATTTGTATCAGATTACCTTGTGAAGCAATAGTATCTGGGTTACAGTAAAAATATCTATTGGAGAAGTGTATTAAAACTCTCTCTCGTTCTTGAGTTTCTCCCACGAGAGAAAATGCTTTAAAGAAATACCTACAAGAGAATTAAAAATTTAAAAAGTGAAATTTTAGAAAATGCTATCACACTGTTTGACAGTTAAAAGTCAATTTATACAAACCTAAGATATTAATTATACAAAGTAAGATATTATAAAGTTATTCTCTGCCTGCAAAAAAATCATTTACTAGATAGCCATTCAATATAAATTTGTATTAGTATTTAAATTCTATAAAAACACTTTGGAAGGCCAAGGCAGGCATTCACTTGAGGTCAGGGGTTCAAAACCAGCCTGGCCAACATAGCGAAACCCCATCTCTAATAAAAATACAAAAATTAGCTGAGCGTGGTGGTGGGTGCCTGTAATCCCAGCTACTCAGGAGGCTGAGGCAGGAGAATCACTTGAATCCAGGAGGCAGAGGTTGCAGTGAGCCAAGATCATGCCACTGCACTCCAGCCTGGATGACAAAGTGAGGCTCCGTCTCAAAAGAAGAAGAAGAAAAGAAAAAGTCAACTTAAAAGATGACAGGGTGGTAACAGAGTGGTCAATACATCAAGAAAGCCTTGGGAAGGTAGGTAATTTCCTCATTATGATCAAGTGTCAAGTAGCCAATTTTAAAAGGTCAGGAAAAAAAAAAAAAAGACCACTTAAGACTCAATACATCATCATAAAGGCTAGGTTTTAAAACTCTACACGCATCAGGGTGCTTCTGTAATTTTGTTACATGATTGTCATCTCTATTAAAGCCACTATAACTTACATTGCTTTGTACATAGGAGATTTCTATTAATTTTGTCTATTATCACATTTTAATATTAATTTGTTATGGGAGGAGGAAATCGGGAGATAAGTAATTTATTCCTTATATAATGAAATCAGTTTATGTATAAAAATATCTTTAAGTTATAGGAAGTGTGTCAAAAACCACACACTAATCTACTCAGAGTCACTAAGAGCACTGTTTATTTGAGATTAATCCAGATGACCCTCTATTGACAATGCAGATCCATTTTCCTAAACATGAGATAGGAAGGAAAAAAAATCATTCAAAATTTCTAAGAAATCTTACTATTGTAAGAAACACACCATAAGCTTCATTTCTATGAAAATTTTGCCTTCTTCTTTATTATAGATATAATTAAGGTTAACAAACTATATATTGACAAAACTTTAATTTTTCTTAACTTTGATAAACTACATGAGAATGCAAGGCAAAAATATACATCTCTCAGCCACTGTTAACTGTTTTTGTCAGAAAGCCTGAGTACCTCTGCTGCACGAAAAGAGTCCCGCAATGAATCACTGGAGTACTACACTCCAGTCCAAACATCCTCCCTTCACCTCCCAGGCCTCAGTTTCTTCACTTGTAAAATTAAAGGGTTACGCTAGCTGATCTCAGAATTATTCTAGACACTGACATTTTATAAGTAGTGTTTAAAATTAAATGCTTACTAGGTGTTACCTTCAGCTACTCTTAGAAACTTGCAATACAATATAATGCAAAAAGTGACAATCAGTGAGTTTTAGACATCTTCCTTTGAAAAGGTCAGACAAAGAGGGTATTGTTGGAAACAGTTTTACAGATACTTTCTTTTTTTTTGATACGGAGTCTCGCTCTGTCGCCCAGGCTAGAGTGCAGTGGCCGGATCTCAGCTCACTGAGCTCTGCCTCCCAGGTTCGCTCCATTCTCCTGCCTCAGCTTCCCGAGTAGCTGGGACTACAGGTGCCCACCACCTCGCCTGCCTAGTTTTTTGTATTTTTTTTTAGTAGAGACGGGGTTTCACCGTGTTAGCCATACAGATACTTTCTACTGATTACGTTGACATTCATTTTTATTCCACTGAAGAGTTAATTCCAAAGTATCACCTTAAAAGACTATTGGGGCTGGGCAGGGTGGCTCATGCCTGTAATCCTAGCACTTTGGGAGGCCAAGGCAGGTGGATTGCCTGAGGTCAGGAATTCGTGGCCAGTCTGGCCAATATGGCAAAACCCTGTCTCTACTAAAAATACAAAAAATTAGCCAGGTATGGTGGTGCGTACCTGTAGTCCCAGCTACTTGGGAGGCTGATTCAGGAGAATTGCTTGAACCTGTTAGATGAAGGTTGCAGTGAGCCAAGATGGTGCTACTGCACTCCAGCCTGGATGACAGAGCAAGACTCTGTCTCAAAAAAAAAAAAAAAAAAGGGGGGGCTATTGGGCTATAGGAAAAAAATTCTACAGTCTATAAACTCTGTGTGTGTGTGTGTGTTAAACTGATCATTCAAACACTAAACTCCCTACTCAGAACAACTGAAAACAGTCTTGAAGAAATATTTGTACACTCATGTTCATGGCAGCATTATTCACAATAGCAAAAGCATGGAACAAACCCAAGTGTCTCTCGAAGCTAATGGTGGTATTTATATATTCCCCATAATGGGCTATTACTCAGCCTTAGAATGGAAAGAAATTCTGACATACACTACAGAAACGAACCTTGAAGACATTATGCTAAGTTAAATGAATCACAAGAAGGCAAATAATATTTATGTCCATTTACAACATTAGAGTAGATAAAATAATCGAAAAGAGAAGTAGAATAGTGTTCGCCAGGGGCAGGGGGAAAGGAGGGGAAGGAAAAAAAATCCTTGTTTAATGAGTATGGAGCTTCAGTTTTACAAGAAGAGAATCATGGAGATGGATGGTGGTGATGGCTGGACAACATTATGATTGTTTTTAATGCCATTCACTGTATACCTGACAATTGGTAAGATGATAGGTTTTATGCTATCTGTATTCTACCACAATAAAAATATGAAAAACAGAAAAACTCCTACAGATGACATTTTTTATCCAGATTTGCTATGCTACCAATTGTTTACCATCTGAACTCAGGCCTCCCATTAGGTGCAGAATATCAGTTCATGTGTCATTTCGTTAAATGCATACATTTTTCTTACTCTTTGCTGTGTTTAAAATCTATAATACAATTTTAGCTAAGTTCACAAAGTACAAGTTAAACATCCCAAACCCGAAAACCAGAAATCCAAACTGCTTCAAAGCCAGAGATGCTCCAAAATCTGTAACACTTTTCAGTGCTGAAATAAGGCTCCAAGGAAACGCTCCTGAAGCATTTCAGATTTTCAGATTTGGGATGTTCAACTGGGTAAGTATAACACAAACATCCCTAAACCTGAAAACACCCAAAATCCACAATCCACAACACTTCTGGTCCCAAACATTTTGGAGAAGGAATACTCCACCTATAGCTGGAGGTTTAAGAAAAAAAATAAGATTCTAGCTAGAAGGCATTACTTTCTCCTCTAAGAACTAATCATTTGAAGGTAATGAAGAGCAGCAGTGAGGCTTAGTCATACCTGAGTGACTGATCCAGCGTCATTCCTGTAAAATCAAAAAACTTCAGATATTCTTCGGCAACTAGTTTGCTAAATTCATTGCTATAAGAAAACAGAACAGACTTGGTTATTGAAAGGTAAACTATTTAAAACACACACAAAACAGGAGAGAATTCAGATTCCAGCAATGGGTCAGAACGTACTTCTTGCCAAGGTGTTTTGCAACATCCGATCTTTTGAATCTGTCCAGATGGTAAAGGCGTTTGGCCAACCTTTTCGCTGCTTCCACATTGCTGCTGGTACCATTACTGAGATTTCCTGGGGTCTCCTTTTCCAAAATTTCAGTGCTCCCCATTTCGGAATGAGCTTCTAGCCGTGTTGTTTTCACCCCAGCATTGCTATGATAATTGATAGAGAAAATAATAGATATTTCTTATATGGCAAAAAGGAAAATATCTGATGAAATATTGATAGTTTCTTTTAGTTTGGCTACACTATCTTAGATGAGATCATTTTATGTTTAAATATTCATAAAAGTAGTTTCAGTTACCATATTTTTAAGAACTAAAGAAAAGACTGCCAAAATCTTAGGCAAGCAGTTCCCAAACTTTTTGGTCTCTAGACTTTACATTCTTAGAAGGATTCCATAGAGCTTCCCCTAATGTGGGTTATACCTACTGATATTTACCATAGTAGTAATGAAAATAGAAACATTTTTAACTCACTTAAAAATAAATCTGTTATATATAACAAATATTATAAAGATACAACTATGTTTTCCAAAAGAATATAAAATTTAGTGACACAAATCATAGTGTTTCACCGTTTTTTTAAACACAAATTTCTTTAATGGCTGGCTTAGTAGAGGACAGTTGGACTCTAACAGCCATTTCTATATTCAACCAGTAACAATATATTATTTTGGTTGAAGCACATTGAGACAATCTGCCCTCACTCATCTTTCGTTAAAAAAAAGAAATATGTTAATATCTTTTTCAGATAACTGTGGATATTCTTTTTTGATATAACACCAAAATGAGGTAAGTGGTAGTTTCTTAAAGGATATTCTTACTTGCAATATGGAATCTAAATTTGTGTCAATTAACTTTTTGTACTCTTATATTAAAATCTATCTTATACTTTGAATGGATCTTTTAACCAACAATGATTTTATAACACACACATTGGTTATTTGCAAAACATGTGTTGACACATTTCATTATATAACCTTAAAAAAAAAATCACATTCACTAATGTCATGATTAAGGAAAAGTCTAAATATTGGGAAGCTGCCAAACCTTCAGTGGCAGATACAAGTTTTCCAAAATTACAACGTTTGTTCCAAAGCTCAAAGGTAATCATTTGCTAAAAATATTATCAGTCGTTTTCCTTAAAGTAATAGACTTACTCCATTTTCAAGAAAATGTTTGCCAATAACCATAGTTTGTCATTCTCTCAAGGAAAAATGACATTTAATTTAAAAAGTGACTATTTTTTAACCTCAACTTAAATGACAGATGAATGTTTTTCCCGGAGACTATCAGGAACAGAAGTGCTTTATTCCCATTTCATCACACACAAAATTAAAAGACATGAACTCAAGCATTGAAATGAAATAAACAAACTGTACTGGTTTCATTAAGGATTGTTTTTAAAAGGTGAAACTGGCCTTTAATTTCATTTTGAGCACATGACAGTGGAGAATACAATGACTGGAAGAGTCTGGTGCCACTGCCTGAAATTCTGCTAAGACCCCCACTGCTGTTTTTGTACCATATGATATCAACGCAGTGAAAAAGAAAAATAACGTTGTAGTAATTAGTGTACCATAATTTTGATCTCACAAAGCTACTGAAGGAAGAAAGCTCCACAGGCAACACATTGTGAACTTGGCCCTAGATAGGGCTTAAAGACTACAGCCTGTGGTCAGCTATAGATGGTTCCCATGTATTTGTAACACTGAAACTAATGAGGATACACTAATTTCCAAATCTTTATCTTAACTTGGAAGTAAGACATGCTCATGATAAAATGTGCTTAAACGGCCTTCGAACACACTTACCACAGATGCTAAACCAAGGGTGGTCAGAATTTTTCCATAATGGACCAAATCATAAATATCGTAGACTTGCAGGCCACATGTGGCCCCTGTCACACATGCTGCTTTGCTGTTGTTGTTTTGTCACAACCTTAAAAAACCTAAGAGCCATTCCAGGCTGGGCAGAACTGTGCCCATGGATTGGAGTTTATCTGCCCTTGCTCTATCCCATAGTTCTTTAACTAGGCTTGCACTAAGCAGAATAACCATTTACTGTCTAAACCAGGACACTCTAAAGGGGAAACATGCTATTATAATCGTTACAAAATAAAGAAAGCATTATCAATAAAAAAAAAAGTAGTACTGCTAATGGGCATTTTTTCTTTTGGGGTGATGAAGGCATCCTTAAGACAGTGGTAATGACTAAACAACTCTGAATATGCCCAAACCACCCGATTTTATACTTTAATATAGTAAGTGATATAGTATTTCAATGATCTCAAAGGTGTTATGTTTTCAAAAATCTGAATCTAAAAAATAAGTTGTAAACTTATATCACTAAATGACAAAAACCATTGTAGCAAAAATAAATGCATTTCTAAGCAGAACTGCTCTATCTTGTCACTTATTCTACCGCATTTACAAGTTCCCTTTTCCCACTGCTCTACCAAGGAAGCGCTGGCCTTATGCTTCAAGGTCACTGAGAAAGCAGCCAGGGCTCCTGGACAACCAGCTGGTATAACAAGTAACTGCAGAGTCTCATACTCCCTTCAACCACCACAGGATTAGAAGGAGTTGACTGTCCCTAGCAACTCTTCTCCAAGCACACTTTATCAGCAAGCACCCGACTTCCTGCCCTTGAAATGAAGCTCTAAGAATAGGGAAAAGAGAGAGAGTCTTTTAGAGTCAACTGTGTAAAATCGTCAATGACACAATCCCAGATGACACCATGGGAGAAGTTGGGAATACAAAGCTAGGTCTACCAAACCCATGCCGACTTATTTCACCATAGCTATTAGTGGTAATAGTTCACTTATTAAAACTCTAAGTAAAATACCAAACCACAGTCAATATCAATGGCAGAACAGCAGACAATCACTGGAACTGACCCAGGAAAACTAAGATGTATGGTAACTCTCAACACCCTGAACAGTTTCCCAACAGACACACCCACCAGTTAAATTAAACTGCTTCATTACGATAAAATCTCCATGAAAATGCATTTTTAAATGCATGATCTTTTTCATCCCACATCTTCCATTACAGACTTAACATTACATGGCTGGGTGTGCTGGCTCAAACCTGTAATCCCTGCACATTGGGAAGCCAAGGCAGGAGACCTGCTTTAGCCCAGCAGTTTGAGACCAGCCTGGACAACACAGTGAGACCCCCCAAACTATGACGTAAAAAATTTTTTTAAAAAGAGACTTAACACTACCATTCAGTTTTGTGAAATCTATCCCATCAGGAAATTGAATAATCATTATCGACAGTATAACCTATGAGAAAACTCATAGTTGAAATTTCTTCACGGTTACTTTGTGTTTTCCCATACAAGTGAAAGAAATGTAAAATATTTATTCCAAGAACTATGTTAATTACCATCAAGTACTTTTTATAATTACACACAAAACAAAACCCTTGGAGTTGTGTTTCCATGCGTGCTGTTCCTATCATGTAGTAAAAACAAATGTCAAAGAAAGGATTTTCTTCTTAATTAAACCACTACTTACTGCTCACTTCCCAGGGAAAATTCATGGCATTTATTTAATCATTCTGTGCAAACAATGTACTTATACCACATATATAATACTGGCCCAGTTTTGTTCAAATACAAGTTCTCATTCTAATAACACATTTTAAAAATTTACTGCTCAAAATCATTCCATTCCTCATGTTACTTATCCTCCATATATGCCCCTTTTCTACTATGCTGCCCAGTCCAAGTGATTTCACCTAATTTTCTTCACATTCACCAAAACGATGTAATTGCAATATCTGTGTGTGTAGGACTTTCTGGATCTTCTTCAAAAAGGCTTCAGTAAAAGGAGAAAATAAAGAACAAAGGATAAATATCCCTGTCCCTAGATGGCTTCATTCTATCCTTTTCACAACCTAGGAGATTATTTGAACAAGAACCGAAATTGCTCATTTTAAATCAGAAAGCTTGACAATACGATGGCAATACAAACTTACCAGCAACCATACAGACACCAAGAAGAGCCCATCACAACCCCTGGGGTGTGCCTGGACCATCCTTCCTCTCTGAAGCCCCGTCCAGTATTCTTCAGCTCCCAAGTTCAGTGTTTGCCGAGCCTCACAGCCTTCCAAGAACCTGACTCCCTGTGAGGTCACACTGCTATGACCTCACATTCTCAGCTGAGTGTTCATTGTTGGGGTTTTTGTAATGTTTTTACAGTTCTAATAAAAACAGGAGCCAGAACACAAGGGCCACTGTCTATCAAGAACATAAGAAACAGTGAGCCCAGTCTCGCTCACACTTGATAAAGCCGACTCAGCGATCCCTCTCAGAGGGGATAACACCCCATTTTGTTTCCTTGAATACACAAGGCATGGCAGCTCTAGTCTGTTGAGCATTAGATGTTTTCTACAGTTTGGATTTTCTCTTTTCTATAGTTCAGTATTATTTTCCCTATTTTTCTTGATCAAATCACTTGACAACCTAGTAAGATTGTAAATAAATAAATCCCTACCAGTCACTTAAATGTGTAAGAGACTTCCCCAAAAGCTTCTCCCTGTGTTCCAGAAAATGCTTTCCTGGGGCCTTTACTTCTGACCTCCAAGTGAACATGGTAATATTCTCTCATCAAAACACTCCATCATCAAATGAAGGACTAGATCATTGAGTCTGATCACCAGGCCTTCTCACAACCTTTTGAATCATACTAAGATTGGCAGATTTTCCAAATAAAAACAGGGTACCCAATTAAATGTGAATTTCACATCAAAAAACAGTGTCTACTATAAGTATGTCCCAAATACTGCACGGAACATACTTATACTAAAATATTATTCATGTTTATCTGAAATTCAACTTTAACTAGGCATCTTATATTTTATTTGACAAAACTTCCTGAAATGTTTTTTTCTAAACTTTATTTAAAGAATTCCAATAATGGTGTTCCATGATTGTCAACTGGTAGCTTATTCACAATCAGAATCCTTCTCGATTTTTTCACTTGTTTCTGTGATTTTATTCCTACTATTTTTCTCCAGTTTTATCAAGACTTTGTTGCCTATAATCTACTGATTCTTCTCTAATGTCCTCTAAATACAAAAAAACAAACACACACCCTCTTCTGTGTTTTCATCCTTCTCTCTTGACCTGCATGGTACCAC